GGAATGCCCCACCCCTCTGCCGGGCACCACCGGGGGATCCTGGCGACAGGGATCCGACAATCCTCTTGCTGTCCGAGACCGGCCACGGGAATAATCCTCCACCCAGGTCAGATAATCGGATTGCAGCCGGCTTTGCTCAGCCTACAGTGGGATTTGTGTAGGCATTTGCTCACCAGATCCTCTCTCCCCAGGCTCCTCCGCCACGTGGGGTTTGGGGAACGCTGTCCCCGGAGCCGACGGGCGTCTCGCAAATACGCCCCGATCTCACTTTGTTCCTTAATGAGGATTCCCGGGAGGGGCACGATCAACTAAACACACACAGCCTGGGTGCGGGTATCCAGGGACCTCCCTGCTGTTACCGTGGAGGGCTCCAGGCCCCTAGGAGCTGCCTAAAGCCCCAGCTTCTGGAGTCCTGGGATTATGGGAGAGCCTCGGATGTTGCTTAGATGAGGGAACAGCGCTCTGATCAGTCAGGGCAGGCAAGGAAGTGGGGCGACGTGGTCCCTGGGGGCTTGGGAGCCAGTAGGAGGGTTAGAAACTAAGATTCCCAAAGTAAGTGCAGCCTGTTCCCCCATGCCCCTCACTCTTCTAGCTGCCACCTCCTTGCTCCTGGCTTTGTTTGCAGCTGCCCCTCTGTGTTGGGAGCCCTGTGCCTCCGTCTCCCTGGCAGTTCTAGGAGGTGGGGAGGGAGCAGCGTAGCTCCGTCCCACATCACCCTCTCAAATCCCAGGCAGGGCCCGAAAGGCAGCAGCTCCCTGTACCACTTCACCGGCTGCAGGGCTGGCCCAGAACAATGGAGAATCCCCTCCCCCACCCAAGAACAATGGAGAATCCCCCTTTCTCCCACTGAGAACAATGGAAGATGCTGGGTGCTGAGTGCCGGGGCCTGCTTCACTGCAGAGACCGGCTCTTTGTGGGGGGAAAAGGGGGATTGGTAACTGGGGGGAGATTCTGCGGGCAAAGCACCCAGTTCTCCAAACCTAGTAATCCAATGGTTCACAGCCAGAATAGCATCTCCTCCTCCCCAGCCCCACACACCTGTGTGTACACACAGGCACATGCATGTTGGCATGAATGCACCTGGGTCCTAGGGAACACCCAGAGTTTCCTGGGTGGGGGAGGCTGTAAGACTTGCAAAAGGCAGCCTCAAAGGAAAGCGAAGTCCTGCTCCCTGGTCCTGCCCAGGCACCGAGCTGTGGAAGCAGCATGCACAGGCTGCCCCCCACCCTCCTTCCAGTGAATCCCCTGCCCCAGCTGCGTTGTATCTTCCCGATAAACCCACTGCCATTTATTTAGAAACAAAAAAGAAAATGGAGTCAGGCAGAGGCCAAGCCAGGTGCTGGCTTTCCCAAGAGGCCTGTTCCCAGGGCTGAGCGCAGGGATACTTTGCCCTCACAGGCAGGTAAACGCTACCCCTAGGGCCCTTTGGGTAAATGTGATACCTTTTATTAGGCCAACTAAATAGCTGGAAAAATTGAACTCGGGCACAAACACAACATGCCTGGGGCCCAGCTTCTCACCACACAGCCAGGTGGAACAAGGGCCTGCATATCTAAGGGGGTAACTTTGTGCAGCATCGTGGTCCTTGGAGAGCCCTGCAAAGGGTTTAAAGGGTTTAAAGCTACCCTGAAAAGTCTCAAGCAAGGGCCCCCCCTTACACCCCCTGCCTGCTGCCTCTTGCTTCCAACTGGGACTGCAGGCTCTGGCAGGGAAAGGCCATACTGTCTTTGTACAGCACCGAGCACCAGGGGCTCGGCAGCTCTCAGCATCTGCAGGATTGTAAGGGATGCAGGGGAGCAGACTGACCTTCCCCTTGCATTCAGAACAGTTGGCAGCCTTTTGCTCTGCCCCGGGTTTGCTAGGCAGCTGGTCAGTTTCACACCTGTTTCTGGTCAGTTTCACTTTCTGCTTGTCTGGGGTGGGAGCCGGGCATCGAGGCCTTTCTCGCCTTGCTGGGGCCAGCCCCCCTTCTGCCATCCCTGCTTTCAGTTAGCACCCCCAGGGCCCGGCCCTTGCCCTTCCAGATCGGGTCCACCTGAGTTTGCCAGAGCCTGAAAGACTAGCTGGAAGAGAGGGAGCTGCCTGCCCTTTCCGCGGCACCTCACTGCACAGCGGGAAGGGGCTGGGGGGATTACGAGGACCCACCCCACCTTCCAGCAGGGATTTGGGGTCGGGGTGCTCGGATCAGCGCTGATCCGGGGGGCCGGCTGCGGTGGGGTCCCCCCATGGGCTGGCCCCCAGCCCCAGTTTGCAATGCGCATTGAAGACCCGGGTATGGGGGACACGTGTGTTTGGGCTCTCCAGGGGGGCTTCTGTCTCAGGGCATAAATCGGGGGGGGCGCACCGGGCTCCGCCTCTGCCACCGCGGCCTCGGCTGAGTCCTGTCACGTCCCGGTGGGGCTGTGGGAGGCTGATCGCCCTCCGGGGGGAGCGCGGGGCCGGGCCGGGCTCCGGGGCAGGTGCGGG